TAAAATAGCCAGTAGAAAGCCCTTGATTAAAGTGTATGGAAGCTCCAAAAATTTAGAAACTCATATGTAAAACATATACCAATGTTGTCATTAAATGAAAGCCCTTTATGTTTTCAGCATTTATAAATAAAGATTTGTTTTAAAAAAAAAAGAACTTCTCTGTATTATTACAGTTATTTATAAAGCACCAACAATTTATGTAGCACGTTACATTTACATCAGTCCCTGCCTTTGAAGAAAAGTTCCTATCTCACTTGCATACTTATATTAGGGTCAAACCTATCAGCATGTATTTGGAGTGTGGGAGAACACCCACATACACACAGGGAGAACATGCAAATAGTGTCCTGACCAGGATTTGAACCAAAGACCCTAGTGCTGTAAAGCAGCAATGCTAACCACTAAGCCATGCGCTCCCTTTGGCTGGTATGTGTACTGTGCCCTCATGAATGAATGGGAAGTGATCTACATCACTTCCTGTTCATTCATGATTGTGGCTATATTAAACATACTATGTCCACAAGTTATGAATGAACAGGAACACTCATAGAGGATTCCTGTTCATTTATAACGGCAGCTGCAGAATAAGAGATTGAGGACTCTGTGTCGTCAATCTCTTTTTCTATTTTAAAAGGGAAATATCAGGGGGTCTGTTTAGACCCCTAATATTTCCCCGAACCCCCTAAAAGTAAAGTAAAAACATAAAAAATATTTAATAAAAATGAATGAATACATAAATAAAAATAAAGTATTAAAAAATTAAAAAGTTTTATATTTTAACAATTTTGAAAAAGTTAGAATAAAAAACATTTTCGGTTTTGGCCTGACATTTTTTTTCATTTCGGTTTTGAAATGTTCCTTTTGGTGCACATATTTGAAAAAGAAGCATTTGTCCACTTTTTCCTTTATAAGGCTTTGCCCCTCCAGATTTGAGAGCTCAGCATTTGCTGTCCCATATTTACATTTGACCTTTTACCATATGTAAGGTCCCTTTCGGGTTATCATATTTGGTGCATGTGAGCAGCCTATGTCTCTAAAGATAAATGATAGTTTCTGGTGTGCACCTGGATTCTTTTCTTTTTAAGTGGATGGAAGAGAGAAAAGAATTGTGGGATGGTTGAATCATTTGCAGACAAATTATCCTGCCAAGTATGGTTGTTTTAAAGGAGTATGAATGATGTCATACACCCAGGGAATCTGATTTCTGATACAGAGGCAATGGCTTAACAACAGGGGTCACAGAGGTGGCATCTAAAACTGGGCTCAGGCTCCTTTGAGACTCTAATCATCAATCACATTGACAAATACTGCTCCCCTCTGCTGACTAGACTACTTTGATGCAAATAAAGCTTTACTTTATCTGGTCACATTTCATTTAGTAAGAAAGGTTATTATTATTTATTATAGCCTGCGGAAAAAAATTCTGAAAAAAATTTGAATACATATCATTGTATTGGGGACTGGTCCTGGACTATGTCCTGCTCAATTTTTATTTTTCCTGGAAAAACTGGTACACTCCTTCTATAGTATAGTGAGGGAGCGTTGTTCCCCTGCCCCCAAGACAGGAAGGCATTTGCTGGCAGGATCATCAGTTAAAAATATCATGAAAATAGCCTAATGGAGAAAAAATATTGCAGCCACCACATCTAAGGACTGGTAATCTGCAATAAATTATATGTTTGTTCTTGGGTTTAGATAAACTTTAGATTTAAGTTTATTACTTTTTTTCAAAAATGAACTCAGACAGTTCTGCCAAATAAGTTGCCAAGGCACCTGCAATGGATTCTGGGGCTTACCTAAGCTCCAACTGAGCAGGCAGCATCTGCATACCACATGTGCCTAAGGTTATGAGGGATCTCGGTGTGCTATGGATATATGTCAGCACTTTATGGTGCCTCTTATTGCGAAGTAACCTTAGTTTAGACACTATTTTATAAAACCACATTGACTTTAAGCACTGGACAGGATGTTTGCATTTTACCACCCCATTGTGCAATGCATTTCTATTGCAAGCTCTGTCTCCTTGTACATTATCAGTTTGGCATAAGATCTTCCTTGGCAGCCTTAATTGAATGACTTCCACCTCTTTAACTTAATAACCTAGAACACAAATGGGTATTGCAATTTAAGACCTAGCCAAATAGCGCTCATTTTAAATTAGCACTTGCAATAGAATACAAAACTAGGTGATAATTTAGGAAATAGTTCCGCTTTGCTCAATTATGGGTAAGCTCTGGCAGTGGAAGTGATCTGATGGAGAGTAGGAGTGATATCAGACACAGATACTGGCAGTAAAGTCAGACAGAATGGAGAAAAAAAAAAAAAGAGTCAACGGATGTGATATAAGACACTGTTAATGTAATACAACACTGCTCATTCAGTCAATAATGTGATAAAAAGCACTAGAACTATATATGGAACGTGTCATGATAGCCTGGCACAGAAAAAAAAAGAACTGGAGTTTAAAGGGTCCGTGTGCTCAAAACTGATTTCAGTTATAGGTGAATGCTATTGAGTTGAATCACCCATAGGTGTCTTATATGACTTGGGGTCTCCAAAAGAGAGATCTGATTATCTTGCCTTGTATCTACTACAATAAAGAGTCTCATTCTTCTTAATGCATGTATCCTAAAATAAAGAGTGACTTAGGTGCTGAGACCAAGGGTTCTTAACTGGGTGTAGTTATACCTCGTGAGGGTATGGGAACCCAATGATAGGGGTATGAAACAGGGGATATCATTGTCTTGCCTTGTATTTGTCACACTAAGAGTCTCATACTTCTTAATGCATGTATCCTAAAATAAAGAGTAACTTAGGTGCTGAGGCCAAGGGTTCTTAACTGGGTGTATCTATACCTTGTGAGGGTATGGAAACCCAATGATAGGGGTATGAAACAGGTTCTATGAATAATACTAAAAAAAATAAAAATAAACTGGGATTCTGTGCATTACTGAACCTGAAATAAAAGTAAAGACACTGACTCGCTGTGTCAGATGATATGTGTAAAATATTGTTAGTAACTTTAAGTCAATTCCATGTTCGCCACCAAAAGAACCGCAAACATTTGACTAGTTGTATCCAGATTTTGTATATGCAATTTGTCTTTTTTATATCAACACGTATACTAAATCCTTATGATTTTTATTTTTTTGCATTTCCTTTACTAGATATCCATGTGAAAGTATAAGACATATGGATACCTAATAGGACTGATGATGATTATGATTTTGACAGTCAGATAAATGGGGTATGGGGGCATTGGGTAATCCTTCAGGGGTCTGTAAAATCATAAAAAGATTAAGAACATCTGGCTTAGATCTTGCTACCATTGAGAAAAACATTGCTGAATAAATAAATGTTCCTGAGTCTACACAAAACTATAAATAAGAAATAAATAGTATACCCCTTGATAAATACTGACCCCTTTGAACAAGCCTAGCAGGAATTAAAGGGTCAGTCCTCCCAAGATAGAAACTGGAGAGCTAACCCACCTAACAATTTCCTATATCTCTTAGGAACTCTATTGGTTAGATCACGGGCATGCACACCTATGAGGGGTTCCCACTCTCCCTGTTTTTTTAATTTATTTTATATCCTGGAAAATATAATAAGAGGTGATGGAGCACACAAGGGTAGGTGGAAACACCCAAAAATCCCACGTGGACATGAGCAAAGTTGGGAATAATGGCAAAGGGATCTCACTGTTTTGTCTAAAACGTATAAGAAACCAGGGGCTAACTCAGATGACTAACTATAGGTTCCACCTATAACCAAGATATCACATTTGGGTAGACCAACCCTTTAAACTTCATTGTCTAATCCCAGCAAAAAAAAATAAAAGATGGAATCTGTTTGTTATGAGAAACATCTCCATTTCCCTCTGCAGTTTATTAAATTATTTTTTGTAATTACTAAATTATATATATATATATATATATACAGTATATATATATATTCTATGAAGCTATACATGTATGTATGTATGTATGTGCTAGCGTATGGGGCCAGTTCTGCTCCATACTGTTCAATGTTGCTGAATTGATGGACTGTATTGTCTGCAGGATGACAGTAGGAAGGCTATGAGATGCACTAGAAGAGATGTAGGAGAGAGAAGGTGAAGTAACATGTGGTAGGAAGATGGAAGGAGGAAAGGATACATGATGAATTAAAGATCAGCAAGAAAGAAGAACACAGAACATCAGTGATAAACACAACTTTCTGAAGTAAGTGTACCTGCGCTAGCATACATTTAATTCTGCAAATCTGGGAAACTTAGCCAATGGGCTTGGGAATCATTGGCTTGAACAACCTTTCCCTTTAGAGTTATTCTCATGTATGTTACTTTATAGCAAATGTACTAAAATTGGTGTCAGTCAGTGGAAACTGTTACAATGGCCATATACGGGCAGATAGTTCATCTGATATTTGCCATCTGAGAATTAAAAAAGGCATTGGTGTATCTCTACAGATGCCTTTAACCAGACAGGTTTCAGAAACAATTGCTTTTAACTGGGGGTGTCATTGTAAAATAAAGTTCTCCCCACATAGTGACACTGAGGGGTTCCAGCCTCCCTCATCTCAAAAACTGTGACCCATAGATATCAATTAAAGTGCTCTCAGCTAGCCATTTAGAGGTCACAGATTGTATATTGAAATATAACTGTGCAAACCAAGTGCCAATATTTTGGTACAGATAAACTAGCTTACAAAGAAATGTAATTAGAATAAGACAAGGGTTTCATAGGTATGGTTGAGAGAGGAGAGGTAATAGTAATTCATAGTTCATAATCATTGGATGAAAAACTGCCCAGTCCATAGCCACTGTTAATGTGCTAAAAAAATAATTATAAAACATTGTGTCTTCTCAGTTTAAGCATTCTACCTGATGTGTTTTGTCAAACGGTTCTTCAAATTAATGTTGCTGTCCGGTTACTCTATGTCTCTATCTAAAAACCTAACCTATTGTCCCTCCCCATCTATTTCCCTAGTTTCATACTCACGCAGGAACAGCACATAATGACCATAATGAATGACTCCAGAATACCACCAACTCCCACCACCCATGTAAGACGTAGAAAGAGGATGACACCAAAAATATTTTGTAGGCAGGGAAGGTACACCCCCATGAAGGTTCCCATTCTTGGGGCCTGAAAGAAAGAAAAAAACAAGTAAGTATGTAACAGATGTTTACATCAGCAGGATTACCTTTAGAATATTCCTGAAATAAACTTTTTTTATAAGACCACAACAGGCCGTTTGGTGAGGTCAATATAATATGTGCTATGATCTCTTTTAGGTTTCAACATTATGGCTACAAGCTACTACCACTGGTAGTGGTTGTGGTAAACCATGCATGAGACAGGGAAACTCAGGAACAGTTCAAGCAGGGCTGTCCTGCATTTCTTTTCAGCAAGGCAGCAGACAAACACCATTTCAGTGCAAGAGGGCTTTGTAAAGCAAGACCATAGCATAAAACGAACAAACCATCTGCTCGTCCAAGCAACTAAATAAACTCAGTTGGGTTCCTGACTAACTGGGTGCCTCCTAATGTGTTCCCCGAAACAAACAGGAAGCACATGAACCTTTTTATTATTCTGAGTGAGAGACCTGAGCCCACATACTGTATATAAAGGCCTATACATAGCTGAGACAAATAACCTAACAACCAGGTAAGATGTGGTAATTGAGATTTATTCACACTCACACTACCTACAAAGATTCCAGGCTCCAGGACCCAGAACAGGGCTTTAATAAGATTCTGAGAAAACAAGAAGCTTGTTTTTCCACTACAGTCATTAACTCTGGAGCCCCTCAACAAGTCCAAAAATATAAAAGAGAAAGTAAAGAAAACTGTTAAAGTTCTGAAATGCTGTTTTCTTAGAGGACTGTGGAAGTTAAAATTACTGTGGGCAAAGTGACAGGTTTTTTGCACCTCTGTTGGAGCCCTGGCTCTTTTCCCTATATAAGGGATATTTTGTGTGTCTGTGTCAGACCTCCACCCTCTCTCATGTGTCAGTTTTTGGGCTTGGGGATTGGACACTCAAATCCCAGCACTGCATACTGGAGTATGAGCAGAAGGTTACATGCTCCCCCATACCTGAAAGTACTGGGTATTTCCAAAGGCTCCAACAGACAAATAGAAGAGTGTCATGGATGATTAACAGTGGATCGGTGTGATGACCTAATAAGAGAACTTGTAATTTGCCCCGAATGGACAGGTATAGATACGTATGTGTTCATTACACTTCCCTCTATGCTGTTCTTTCAGAGAAACAGTGCTATAAAAACCCTGTCGTTACGACAGCTGAACTATTAGTAGACCACTTCTGGACTCTGCACATTATTTGATTTAAAGTAGTCAGGCCTAATGACTTCTGTTACCTTGACAACTTCAATTCAAACAGGAACCAGAAGAGGTCCACTAAGGGTACAGCTTTCCTTCCTTTACAGAGTTTTTAAGATGCTGTATGTTGTAAAGATCCACACAAAGCTAAGTCTAATTCAAACACTACACTTCTTTCCATTGTTCCAAACATCATTTATGGAGTTCTTTACAAATGCTAAAACAATATAAAACTAAAAGAACTAAGACTGTTAAATACTGTATATACAGTTCCTTATTTTGCAGTTATGAAGTAAGATGTTCTCACTAAAGATGACTATAGAAAACCTATTTGATCAAAAGGTCAACGGTTAAGTAAATATATACAGCTGAAGAAAACATGAATTAGAACGGAAGAACACCCACTCTTGCTTTATATTGGTGCAAAATGTAAAATCTTTAAATTGTAACCAAGATTTATTATAATTTGTCCTATAAATATATTGCCATTACATTTATTGTTATGTGAATGATCGATTTCTATAAAGCATTTCCTAACTGGAGAGATATTGTTATTTTCCAGTATCTTGAAACCAGTGTTCTAGCATGTGTATAATGCATTTTTCATCACAATTTCACCTAGCCTGGTTCTAGATCCCTTTAAAGTATAGTAGACCAGAAGTTTTGAATAGAGTGGGTTAATATTGAAACCCCTGTCAGGTTTTTATTGGTGGGGGAGATTCTCCCCCTCTCTCTTTTATGTTGTCACCAGAATAAGGAGAGGCAAATTCTTCCCATAGGGACAGCTGGTCCGTTGACAATAGTCTATGAGGGGACTCACCGTTACTTATAGAGATTTCCTCTCACTTCCAGCTGTACCAGAAAGTGAACCCTATACATTTCTTTATTATTGAAGTCTTATTGCCGGTTCGATGATAGCTTCCTTTCCTCCTTCCAGCAGCAGTGGTCATTTTCCTGGACTGAGTGGCAGTCGTGTGATGATATGTAAGTGCCACTCAATCCTGGAGTACTGTGAATCCAGCCTGTGCAATGATGTGACTTTTAGAAAGCAGGCTGGGCTTGCTGGAAATAGACAGAATGACATAACTGTTGTTTAGCCCTGAACAGAAGAACCTCTGGCACTGGACTAAGGGACAGAGCTGTAACGGGAAGAGAGTAAGTAGAACTTTGGAATATTTTTTTATACAGGTGGGAGGGAGCCATAGAATAAAAATAAGCGGCGTTCTACTTCAATATTCTTTCTCCTTCTTCTCCGATCTTTTTCGTTAATGGCTGAATTAATTTTGCATTGGAAATTACATTCCTTTTTTTGAGAGCCGTACAGTTTAAAACATAAAAAGCACTCTCTTATAGCACAATCTGGTTTATATTGGACCCAGGCAGTATTTTCTGGAAATAGATATTCAGTATACAGTTAATTACAACATAATTGTTTGCATATTTAGAGTCAAAATGGAGTCCCACCTGAATTGGCTTCTTCTTTGCCCCTTCATTGTTCTCAGCTTCTTCATGTTCTCGTACACCTTGTGTCAGGTTGGTGTAGTTGGCCAAACCGCTAAGAAGTGAGGAGACCATAGGACTTGTGTCCATTTCCTCCTGCAGCACCAGGGATAAAAAAAGAGCAAGGGTTAAGCAAATCTATTAAAGCCATCAGAGCATGAAGATGCTGATACCCTACAGCGCTTTATACATCATGTTTCCTATTAGTCCCTATAGGGAGGCATTTGCAAGACATTCCTCTCATGTGATACTCCACCGACATAGCTCACATTTGGGGGGACAACATATCTTTGGAACCAAAACACTCTTTTCCTACCTCAAATGTTGCTCCTAGATCTAAAATAAAGACCCATATAAATATATACAGAGGGGGGGGTGTATTTATCAAAACTGGAGCAGACAAAATCTGAAGCAGATTTTCACTGCAATCAATCAGCTTCTCTGTATCATTTTCAGATCTTACCTGCTTAACAAGCTGAAGAGAGAAGCTGATTAATTGCCATGGGCAACTGCTCCAGATTCTGTCTGCTCCAGTTTTAATAACCCCCCCAACCCCCCCCCCCATTAATTTACTGCAAAAAGTGTTTAATTTGCACTAAACTTTTCATCTAGCCTTTAAATGGCTGCACTTATATTTCCCAACTCTACGAATATACGAATAAAGGAAATGTAGTGGTAAAAAATTACCAGTGCGCTTAAAGTGCATTTAAACCCCAGCACTGGGACTTATTTGGTCCCTTTTCATCTGTTAAATATACTATTGAAAGCATTTTGTCTGTTGACTGTTTGTCCGTCTGTCTGTTTTTATGTCAAATCATGTGTGGCCCTGCCAGCGACCCTCCAATTGAAAGGTTTAGATTTTTTTTCAGCTTTGACAAAAGAGCCGGGACAAAAATTGTCGGCTGAAAAGTGACTACCGTCAAACAGCTGCAGTCACTGTTCATTATTTTGACATCTGCGGGTACCGGCTGTCAGAATACAATAACCCAGCAGGGACGATTCCCCCATCCACTCTGTTTAGCATAGATAGAGGAGCTAAACTAGAAAAAAAATATGGGAATATGGCCAGCTTAAATCCCCATGAGTCCCAGAGTGTTTTTTTTTCGTTTAGTTATATCTCAGTGTGGCACACGTATTATATATAGTTTTTTTAAATTTTTTTGACAGATAGGACTTTAATTAGGTAGTGAATTTGAATACACATATTTTTATCTCCTTGAAAAAAATTAGAAAAGAAAATGTAAGTCGGGTTGTCTACGGCACAATGGTGACTTTTTCACTGGTTTGTGACTGCCAACATTTTTAAAGAGAGTCCGTTCATTTATGAGAGCATCTGATTTGTGTGCAGTGGATGCAAATGTCAACCAGACATCATTGCTGTGACCTTGGGATGAATACATACATACATTATAATATGTTATTTTTTATATTTTTGTTTTTACATTGTGTTTCCTTCATGGGGTCTGGTGACCTGATGCAGACCCTTCTCATGCAGCTGCGCAGCAATAAATCCCTTCTCTTCACTTCACTTAGTTGCAATCAGCCAGCAATAGGTCACTATAGCAATGATCTATTGCTGCAGGGAGACGCTGAACAGAGGTACAAGAGCTCCCATGGATTACTGTGTAGCAAGACCCAAAGCGCAGGAGCTAATCATTTTAGCTCCTGGACTTCCTGTTGCATCCCAGCTATCACTCACAGTCAGGGGTTCCAGCATCAGAAGCCACCAGCACCCAAAAAAACACTGGGTCCAGGCGCCTTTTTAAAACGGCGCTTGGACAAACAACTCAGGCACAAGTGGTTAAGGTATAACTAAAGGCCAATTTTAAAAAAAAATTTGGATAGGGTGGTGAGTGATTAGAAGCACTGTTTTTCAAGAAAGAAAGCACCGAAAACAAAATGTAAAAAGTCCATATTTAATTTTATTCAGACTCTTACGTCATAAAAAGCCAGTGCATTTTGAAAGTTTAAAGTAATGCCAATAAAAGTGTAACTGCAACATTATTTTATAATAATAACAATAATAATGTTTAACCATATAGCTTTATTATTATGGCCATGATATCTTCCCTGACTTATGCACAACTCTCATCTCTGTATGCTCCCAACTACCAATCAGAAGTTATCGGTCATTGCTCCAACTATATAAAAGTCCAAATCTGGCTATTAATTGCTTCTTACCTCAAACAATGCCATGTTTTTGCCGGTATCAATTTCCGAACTGTTGATGAATGGGGAGCTTTCCTTGGGATTTCCATCTCCTGAAAAAAAAGATGCATCATCATTCACTTTGATCCCATTTGGAGAGCAGCGAAAATGCAAATGAGAAGCACTCTGTTGCTTGGTATCCCCACGAATTACATATCTGTACATAGTCAATGTCTACATCTTTCTGATTCTCAACAAAGCTTGTGCATGAGCACAAGGAAAGCTCTTTTTGCATCATGAGAACAAAAGAGCAAAATCTGAATTGTATGTATATGACATGGCCTGATTTATATTGCTTGCCCCCCTAGGACAGATTGCACATAACAGCCATGGGTATAATTATGGCCATACCAGACCATGTGCCTGATATTGCACCAAAGAAGTACAAGGGACCCCGAGATGATAAGCTACAAAGTTGTTCATGGCATAGCAAAATATTTATATACATACCATGAATAAAATGAATGGTCATGTAATTTGAAACTCTCTAGGGTTCAAGGATTCTTAAAATTTAAATCTGAGGACCCAAATAATTTTTTTTTAACCTTACTGTGAACACAGAAGAGAATTATTATCATAATGATACCTTTCAACAGTCCCAATTTTTGTGGGACTCTTCAAGGATACAAACAAAATCCCAGGGTGTCACGGACCCACCCCATGTCCCAATGCTGGGTGATGGAATGCTCATTCCAGCACCGGTTACTGGTATCCAGATCCCTGGCTTGATTTCTCGGCAGTGACAGAGTTATGCCCCTGACACTCTTGCCTGCTGTGACACCACTGGTCAGTAGTCAAGGGCTGTCAGTGTCCCTAGTATGGCACTATCCTCTTTGCGCTGTGTGGGCCAGTTATCCTTCTGAGTGATCTGTGTTGGGGTGTAATCTGGGCTCTATTACACTGCATGGTACTAATACCTACCTGGTTAGCACCAGGCAGAGGTAAACATATAACTGTGCGGGTTGTTGTTTTTGAGTGAAAGATCTGAGGTACCCATGGCCATTGCAAAGAGAACATCTGGTCTGGGGTACCCATGGCCATTGCAAAGTCACACATATCGCATAATCCAACGTTTCGGGACCACGTAGGGTCCCTTCATCAGGGCAGAGATGTGACATCTTGGTCACATCTCAGCCCTGATGAAGGGACCCTGCGTAGTCCCGAAACGTTGGATTATGTGATATGTGTGACGTTTAGTCCAAATAAATTGACCTTTTTTTTTATTTCATTTGCGGAGTGCTGGTGATTTCTATTGTTCATTGACTTTTGTACATGGCACCATCCCTTATTGTCACTGCAAGCACCACTATTCTCACTTGGACCGGAAGCGATGTAAGGAGTGCGGGGGGACCTACTGTTTTCTGATATTTCTAAGCAAACTTCATATTTAAAGAGTACATGTCTAATAAATACTTTTTTTTGCAGACTTAACATTTCTCATACCATAGAGTAAGTTATTTATCTCTAATAACTGTAAATGCATACTGTATTGTTATGTTGGTTAGCAGTAAGTAGTGGTCTAGAGTTATAGTGCATGTCAAAGCAAAAAAAAAGGATGCATTTGAGGTACATTTCTGCGTCTCTATTTTATTTCTTAAAAAACCTGCAAATACAGTAAAATGCCTGTTGAGCTGCCAGAAATGCACTCAGTTTTTTATTTTGGGCTGACGACACTGAGAGGTTGATTTATAAAACTTCCACCCAACCGTACAAAATTACTATAGACCTTGGCTTCATCTAGTAGCGCTTGGCCAACGTTTGGCTGGGTGGAAGTTTTATAAATCATCCCCAAAGCATTTTGTTGTCAAACCTGCCAGTTGTCCTTTGCTAAACCACTTGATCATGCATACTTTTGATCCCTACAGCATAAAGGGTAATCATTCTGTAGTCCAAGATAAGAACTAGAAGGGCTCTTTGAGATAACACAGGAAGTGTGCAGAGGACAACTCTGAATTTTGATAAGTTTTTTGCACTTTTCAAACAGCTGCTTCCAATGGTATATTCAACAGACCAAAAGAGAGCAAATAAAAGAAGGTCATTGTTAGGGTTTACATATGCTTTTTCTATACTTACTCAGCATGCAGTGCTGCGTAAGTAGTCTAAAAACTAAAAAACAATTACCCTTACAGTGCCCCCCACCACACGTCAAGGTTTTAATACTCTATTTTGCCTAGGCGGTAGAGGAATAAGGTGTAATACTTACCTTATTCCTTTCTCCAGAAAACTCCTTCCATTTGTGTATTTGGTCCCTGAAGACTTCTCTTAGGCGCTCCCAGCCAGCAGTCACATGCTGATGTCATCAAGTGCAATGTACCTCAAAGTAACGCTCTAACCATCCTCTCCGCTCCTCCCAAGACCTCCTGCTCTCTAGCTCCCTCGTCAACTCCTCCCATGGTCGTCTCCAGGACTTCTCTAGAGTCTCTCCCATTCTTTGGAACTCCCTACCCCAACCTGTCCATCTATCTCCCACTCTGACTGCCTTTAGGCGATCACTAAAGACTCATCTCTTCAGGGAAGCCTATCCCACTTCAAACTAACCACTGAACTATCTCTTTCTCAAACAATTCATCCCCACACAGCTACCTCCTCACATATCACTTGCCCCTCCCTCTTAGATTGTAAGCCCTCACCACCTCCTCAGCCACCTGCTCATGTATCACTTACCCTTACCATTGTGTCTTGACTTGATTTGTAATTATAATGTCTTCCCTATGTTGTAAAGCGCTATGGATACTGTTGGCGCTATATAAATCCTGTTTAATAATAATAATACAATGTAGGACCAAAGGTCCTGCATTGTATGACAGTGAGGGACCAACCAGAGAGAAGAGGAGAGTGCCAGTGTCTACCAGAACTATAATAAAGTAATTATATGGCTTTATTCCTCTACCTCTTAGGCAAAAACAAACATTGCAACAATATATTTTTTTTTAAGTCTTGGAGTTCAGCTTGTTGGCAAGCAAAATATGAGCATCTCCTATAGGGTTCTGTGGCTACTCTAAGTGCCTGTATATGGAAGGATATGGAAATAAGATACAAGTATTGTATATCTAATTATTCACAGACTTGACGAGTTCACTCTCCTGTATTATTTAATATTTCTTAGGAAGGTGACATTGGGCTTTAATGCCTGCTATCTCTGATATGAAATACATTTTTCCTGTTTTTACTGCAGAAAACAGTAACCTCATGAAACCATGGCTCTACAAGCAAAGGAAAGTATGTGGTGTAAATAACACAAGCTTACAAGGACAAGTACCTACTGGGGAGTAGTAGTACAAAAGGTCATGCTCTGATGTTGGACTGTGGGAAGCTCCAGAGCTATAACAACCACACAGATGTAAGTTAAGTGTACCAAACGCATGAACCAAAGTCTCCAAGCAGAAATTTAACGGCATTACTTTTACATTGGACAAGCACTGCGCTCTCTTCTTGATGAGGATAGAATCAATTAAGACATTCCACAGCACTAAAGTAGAGAAATGAACAGACGGGATCTGCCTGTAACTCCCAGTATGCTGTCATCATCATCCTCATCATTCCCCTGATAACTACCATCATGCTGCTTCCCCCATTACATATGTAGACTTCTCTGTCATTATCCAGAACTATCATTACAATTAAAAAGAGACTTTGAATATTCCCTCCTACTACACTCAGCAAAGTAGATTGCCACTTAAATGGTAGTGAAACCACCATGTCCTTTATTCCAAATTTTACTGGGAAATAAATAACAAAATATGAAGACATATTTCTAAAAAAAAAAAAAACAGTAAAGAGAAGGACAGGGGACTTTGGGAGGTTGAAATCTCTCCATGTTTCTTTGTGTAAGGTCAAAAAACAATTTGGGAATTTAGTTCTGCAAGCAAGGAAATTCTTGATTTACGACCCTCAAATAAGAAACCAAAAGGTCCCAACCTTCCATGGTCCCATTTTATGTATTGCTAATACAGGTGGGTTCATGTCTCACACTCCTCTGCAATCCCCAGGTACAGGTGCCGGATCACTGCTACCTTTTACATTTTTAATTTGCAATCCAAGGAAAACTGCACTCAGGAATGCAAGAGTTCTCTCTGTTATTCAATCACAACCAGGAGGAAACAACTCTCATCAGGTATTCCTCTTACAGCTATGTCCCAAACAACAGTGGGACCTTGTCTTTGGTGGACTAAAGTCTGATCACAAACATATAGCAGATTGGGTCACTTGGGAATCACATATGGTTGACTTGCAGTGGCAGATTTCACCATCAGGTGAAACTCTCCATCCAGAGAAATGTACACATGGATTTGTAACATCTTTCTAGAGGGATATCCAGTTGTCTTGGAGAATTCCTTCAAAATTAATATGCCTCATCCCTCATCACCCAAAAAAAAAATGTTTTTTTTTGGCTTGAGATGTGGAAATCTGTCAGGGTTTTCTTTTTTTTAAAGGAATGTCAGCAATGCATCTGCAGTGGTGGCAGTGTCATGGCACAAATGATAATGTTGAGTGCAGCAGGTGCTAAGCTTGTTAAAGGTCAGTTGGCATTCAGACATGTGTATTAGCCGAGACTCCCAAGAGTGCTAATTGTAGTTTCACACAATAGAAGACTGAGTCTTCAGGGTATAGCAGCCAAACTGTAATGAATGCAATGATAGAAGGAAGGACTGGCTCTTCAGAGGAATATTTAAAGTGAACCTGCAGTTTCGCCATAGTAGGCAAAGTAAAAGTTTCAAGCGAAAGCAGACAGGGTAAGCATTTTTCACTCCATCAGACTAAATTTTGCTCTAGTCCCACGACATACTCATAATTTCCTATATGTGAAAATATTTGACTCTCCCATTAGTCCCCACAGTACAGCAGAACCGGCCCAGGTCTGAGTGCTGTCACATGACTGGAGGGGTAATGCATTCCTTTTAAAGTTGCAACTTTTACACTAACAATTAGGCAGTGACCTTTAATTATTTGATTTATTTTTTTTTGTCTTTGACCAGGATGTTTTTTAGTAAAAGCATGTTAGTCCCTGTTCACACCTAGGTGTTTTGTCGCTCAAATATATGCACGACAAAGA